ATCTATTTCATATGGACCTTTCAAATGTCGAACTATTTGTAAAAGTTGCGGGAAGTCTCTTTGAGCAAATAGGGTATCAAATTGAGTGCCTTGAACTTGCAGAAACCCTGTTTTAATAAAAAAAAAAATGTTAGTTCATATAGCTTCTGGGTTGGATCACCTGCATTTGATAATTCTATGGTGACACTTTTTAGTGGCTCTGTTGGTGAAATGACCACAGGACTATCAACCCACTGAACATTCATGTCAGTTTTTTCCCCAAATATTCATAGTAGTAAGCACCAAGGGCAGTTAGCCAGGCCATGATACGAGGTCTTATTGTTCGAAAACCAACTAATCTTGCTTCTTTTTCATATAGTGACATGTCTAATTCTTCAAATTTGCAAAGTTTAGATTTTTTAGTTGTTGGGGCTACGAGTTTTGGCGGTAAGCACATGTCTGAGTAGGAGCGTTCAGTTTTTCCGCTTTTAAGAAATTTCTGTATTTCTGAGTTATTGACATCAACCATTTTGATGATTTTATACGTTTTGGCAAGTTTTTAATGTGTGAGGAGCCAATGCACAGGTATGGTGGTGCAATATTTTCTCACTAAATTTTTTCACTGGAAGCGGCCATTGACCGGAAGTATATATCATATATAGAGAAAATCTGACGAGGCAGAAATGTTGAGCGGGAAATGTTCAGAATGTTGAGATCTACCTACTGGCTATTTACATCAAACTATCAGACGACTTCTTATAGCAGTTATTGCCCATAAATGACGAATTTTACCATTTTTATTTTTTTGTTTTTGTCTACTATCTCTTAAATTATCATACATAGGGAGAAACTTCTAATGCAAAAATGATAACGTGACGAGAACTACACCGAATAAATCAACATATCGAATCTACGACTCCTCATTGAAGTTTTTGCTCTTAAATGACGACTTTGACCATGTTTTGCCATATGCCTAATATCTTAAAAACTATAATAGATAGTTAGAAAATTATAAATAAGCAAACGTGATCAGCAAACAAGACCTACAAATAAGGCAACTGGCCGAAATCGTCTGACGACTCCTTATTGGAGTTATTGCTCTTAATGACGGTTTTTGCCTATTATCTTTAAAACTGTAATGCAAATGTAGATAGACAGCCACTTATAGTAACAAACATCATCAGCAAGACAAGATCTATAAATCAGTCATTTGGGAAAAATCGTCGGATGACTCTTTATTGGTGTGATTGCCCTTGAATGACGATTTTAACAATATTTTGCGTATTTGCCTTATATCTTAAAAACAATAAAAGATAGATAAAAACATAAATTTGAAAAAATGATCAGCAAGACAAGGTCGACGAATAAGTCAAATGACCGAAATTGTCAGTTATTTCCCTTTTGGGGTTATTGCTCTTAACAATTTTTACTATTTTTTGCGTTTTGACCTATTGTCGTGAAAACAATAAAACAAAGATAAAGCAAATATGATCAGCAAGAAAAGATCTACAAATAAGTCAAATTTTGCCGAAATCGTTATAAGACTCTTTATAAAACTGATTGTCCTTAAATGACGATTGTTTTCCTTTCTTGTGTGTTTTGGCAAAAGCTAAAGAAGAAAGAGAGAAACTGTAAACAAATTATAGGCAATACAAGATCAACAAAAAAGAGATTTTTTGTCCTGAATTCTATTCTAGTCCATAATGTTGGAGTGTCCATTGCTGTAGATGCACATTGTTGCCCGATATCAAGTGACAAAAACTGCATGCATATTAAAAAAAACCACTAATCCAATAGATTTGTTCTGCAGAGTTGGTCGATCAAGATAAGAGCACGAATTTCATCTGCAACTGAAAAAGAGCACATGCTAGACACGTATATACATTTTATCTTGCAACAGGTCCCTGTGGACCCGTTCCATGGGTTCTTTAATGTGTAAAGTCGATTATTGCACTCTCCCTTTATCAGATTAAACGTCCCCATTACGACTGGACGTGGTTGTGTATTGATACATCCGAACAACCAAACGGTTCAGGTTAAACATGGGTTATACTTTTGGATAGGATCTTCTATTGAGTACGTACCGGTAAATCTCGCAACGCTTAAAGAACTCCCAACATCAAAGTGTAGGTGATAATACAGATATATCCCAATAATATTCGTATGGAGAATAAAAATAAATCTATAAGATACTAATATTCAGGATCATGACATATATATGCTTAACATGAACAGGGTATTGAACTCTTTTTGTCCACCGAGCGACGCGGATTCAACTACAGGGCAGCCATGTTCTGTAATGAAAACGTGGAACCACGGGGCGTGGTCGGCCATCATGGTTACGCCGTCAGAGATTTTTGACGTCATCGCCTCTCATGCTATTAACAACAACAAAGAAAAAATCAAGCCGATATAGCAAGGTGGAATAAAATAAATGTTTCCATTTTTTTTAATCATTTGTATAATATGTGATCAATAGATTATAATATGTCTTTTTCCATATGGGCCCTGGTATCACCCCTCGACCCATATGAGGAATCAGCTTGGGCCTGAGGCTGATATGGGAGTCTCGGGATGACACCATGGCCGATATGGAAAAGGACGTGTTATAATCTATAATTATGAGTGTATATACACTGGATACTCGTATTAATGTTTTTTTTTTAATAAGTTGTATCTGTATTTTATTTAAATTTATGAAAATTGTTCATTGATATTTCATTTTGTTTACTCTTTAATTTTTTACTAGTCTAAGGATGTGGAGTCAGAAATAACTACTTCTGAGATCGAAATTGATTGCATTGGTTAAAGCTCCTCCCATTCTGTGCTTTTCCTATGACAACGGTCATCAGCGGGATAGGATAGACCAGTAACGTATAATCGAGGTTCACTCACTAGGAGATAAAAAAAAACTTACCATTCATGTTACAAATAAATTTCGATTGAGGGGACAACCATCTGATTCTAAAGGGGGCTGGCAGATTTTGGAAATAAATATTCTGGCCCCCATTTAAAAAAAAGTTAAAAATCTTGCCTTATCACACATGAAAATAAATATTCTGACCTGTAACATTCAAAATGTTAGAAAAATATTTATGAATCGCTTCGCTCGCCACATTTACAAAGTATTCAAAAGATTTGTCAGTTTTGGAAGAGGGTGTAGTGTACTTCCCTCCTCCTTTTGATCTGAGAAAATATAATTTTGTTAATAAAGGAAATTGACTTGCTACGCTCGCCATAAATTTGATCATTTTGGATAATAACACCTCTCTTTCCTTGGACCTTGGATCCACTCTTGGTTGTTATGCTATTATATTTTTTTTATTACTAGAATATATATTCTAGACTTTATTTTGACTGCTCTATTTGTTTGAAGTTATATATGAATCCTATGAAACGGTGATCTGTATCACAAAAGTTAAAATAGTAGGAGGGACAGTTGTTATAAATATTCTGGCCCTGGTCTGAGTGAAATGAGTGACAATAAATAATCTGGCCGCCTTTATATTGGAAATAATCATTATGACCTCATCAAAGTTGCCAAAATGTAAAGTGGTTAATTGTAGTAGCACTTTGTTCAGTAGTTGCAGTGAAGCATTTTAATAGTTCCTGCTAGACGACAGTTGATGCCAAGTGATAGTATTATCTTAAATAGAATTCCGATGGGTGAAACAAAACAAAACAAATCCACACGACATATTCAGCATGGTGTATTTAACTTAAATATATAATCATCATTCCCATTACACCGTTTGTCTCTCTTGTACAGGAATGAAAAAAAATTGATATTGAGAAATTTTCTATGGAAGTTTTGGGCTCCTTGTTTGTTCCGTAGTGTATCACGTCACAATAAGCCAACATCGCTATATAATTGTGGTCGGTTTTTATTGATGAGGGAAGTCGGAGTATCCGAAAAGAAATATGCTCTGACCTTATGTATACTACGGACAATCACTTTCATTAAAGATCAAAATCAAACATATTTCCCAATGAACGGATTTAAACCCACAACAGGCTAGTCATCACTGTACATGAAATACTAAGACCACTCGGTCAACGTGAAACCCTAGCTCCTTCGTGTTTGGTGATTACTCCTCAACATTGATACTTCCAGATTTTCAATGGGTTTGGTTTTTTTTGCGTCGCCAGGTAAACTCAATTTGCGACAGTAAAACTACCGATGGACGTCCGCATAGCTTCAAATACAGTACAGTTATCTCTTAATTGGTAAACCATAATAGGTCCGTATGCGTTTTGTGTTGAAATTGTTTTACCGACATCTATATTCTCAACTCGAACAAAAAGTGTGAGAAAAAGGAAACTTCTGAAAGTGGAAATACTTTTTTAACATGTACATATTTGTATCTTGCTTAAATCTTGTAGTAACAGTCAATATTGAATACCGAATTCTTGTATAGCTTACTGTACGGTATGTGTTTCCCTCATTTTTGAAGGTAGTGCTGTGAACTATGATTGTTTACATCCTGGTCTCTGTTGTCTCATTTTCATTCATCTACTCTATAACAGTGTCGAGAGTGAAGAAAACAATACAAAAAATGTTTTACTCTGGAAAAAAAATATTTTGTATTATTCTTATGGACGAAAAGCAACGTCTTTGTTAGGGTCAACCTTTTTAACTCGATGCACCATTTACAGAAAATAGTTTATCTATCTCCGAGAGTGTTTTTAGTTAGACCCGTACAGACATGACCAACTTTTTTTAAAACTAATTTCCATATACAGCCGCTGGATATGAGAGTAATCTCATAATTAGTATAGCAATTCCAAAACTACCGAATTTTTTTAAGGTGCACTATGAGCCTTGATAATATGCAATTTTTTTTAGTTGATTATTTTGCAATAATAAAGATTTTCATTTTACTTTAACACCCGTTTTCAACAACAGCCAAATTAATATTATATGGCCATTTATACTGCTGGAGGAGACTTCATCACCATCCTTCAATGATCTGTTTTTATATTGGCACAACAATGCTCATGGTTTATTTTTAATTTTCCAGAGTGAATACAAATATGGCATCTTCTAGCACAGTAATATGTGGTGTTTGTGAGTCGCAGCACATGACAACAAAGGCAGACTTCTGGTGCCCTGAATGTGACGAAGGATTGTGTTCCCAATGTCTAAAGCATCACAATGCATCAAAAGGCACACGTAACCATGGAGTTATACCTGTCGACAACTATAAACAATTACCTATGTCGATAGTCAATATATCACAACACTGTTCACAGCATGACAGAAAATTTCAGAATTATTGTCCCCATCATGAAAGTCTCTGTTGTCCACTGTGTATTCAGTCCAACCATGCTAGCTGCGTTGGGATATTATCGCTGGAGAATGTCATACAGACAGCAAAGACTTCAGTCTTATTAGAAAGTCTTGATAAAAATCTGAAATATATCAAACTGAATATCGAGACGGTTGTTAAAGATCGGAAACAAAATCTTGTGGAAATCCAGAAACAAAGGCAGAAATGGTATGATGAAATAAAACAGGTCCGTAATAAAATTAACGAACACCTTGACACCCTAGAACAACGAATACTTCTGGATCTATATGCTGCCGAAAAGAAAGTTATATCACAAATTGAGGACTTGCTAGGAAAACTTGCTCAAAATACAGAAAATGTGAATTCAATGGAAATTAATATATCAGCCATCAAAGATTATGCTTCAGACCTTCAGGCATTTTTAGGGAGTAAAATGATTGAAACAGAAATTCAAAAATATGAAATATATATGCAGTCTTTATTTGACGATGGAAGTTCGCGGAAGATAGACATCAACTGTAAAATTGCAGACAAGATAACCGATCTATTGTCAACTGTTACTTCACTAGGTTCAATATCCATCGAATCAAACTCTCCATTGGTGGTTCTGAAGACAGGGAAAGAAATACAAGCACAGACAAGGTCTTTGCAGCACGTACCACTTTCAACTATTAATGATATAACAATGACGTTAGAAAGTAAATTCATTTTTTCTGGTATCACCGGATGTTCCATATTTTCTACTGGAGACATCATTCTAATAGACCACGGCAATTATCGTCTGTTGATTTTAAAGAAAGATGGAACATTGAAGAGTGACATACCTATGTTACCTAAAGACCCTGTAGATGTTACCTGTATCAATGACAAGACAGTCGCTGTTTCTTTTCCTTATTCAAAACAAATACAAATCATAAAAGTTTCAACTATAATAGTTGAACGCACAATAAAAACGGCCGGTAGTTGCTACGGTTTATGTTACTCAGATGGCTATTTGTTGTGCTGTGAGTATCGCAGAGGTATTCAGAAAGTAAATATGTCAGACAATTGTTCTTCTACTTTGGTTAAAGACAACACTTTGTCCAGCTGGAGTTATGTAGCAACATCTAAAGACAAGATAGTTTACACCAATAGCTCACAACATACAGTAACATGCTGCTCGTTGGCTGGAGAGAAGATGTGGGAATACAAGGATCAATCGGTTCGTTCTCCGCAAGGGATATCTGTTGATAAAGACTCCAACGTTTATATTGCTTCAACTGGTAACAATAATATTATTGTATTGTCGTCAGACAGAAAACAAGCAAGAAAGCTGCTTGGAAAAGATGACGGAATTAGTAAGCCTTATGGACTCGCATTTGGTATAAAGGAAGAAAATTTATTAGTTGGAAATACTAATGGACCTTCATTATACAGACTGAGTTAGGACTAAAGTGATGATTATGTAGTTAAAATCTGTCTGAAATCTATCGAAATGACAAACATTAAAGAGTATAAATCAAATATAGTAATTTTCTTTACTAAATTTCATTTCAGTTATTTGCTAGGGTCGTCGAGTTGGTTACTTATTCCTTATTCGTTACTTATTCCTTATTTGTTACTTATTCCTTATTAGTTACCTATTCGTTACTTATTCCTTATTCATTATTCGTTACGTATTCCCTATTTCTTATTCGTTACCTATTCGTTACTTATTACTTTTTCCATATTCGTTTCTTAGTCGCTTTTGATATATTGTTCCCTTTTAATGATTTCTTTTCTTTTCTTATCTTGACTCTGGTTTAAAATATTGGTTCGAGTAAGAAAAATTACCCTGTTAGCGCGTATGTACCCGTTTCCGCGCTCGACTGATACCCAGTTACTTGTTCTTTACTTATTCGTTCCTTATTCGCTTTTAATATGTTGTCACCTTTTAATGCTTTCTTTTTCTTTCCTTTTTATGTATCTGATGTTAGTTATTGGTTCGTAGAGGTGAAATTACCCTGTTAGCGCGTATGTACCCGTTTCCGCGCTCGACTGATACCTAGTTACTTGTTCTTTACTTATTCGTTCCTTATTCGCTTTTAAAATGTTGTCACCTTTAAATGCTTTCTTTTTCTTTTCTTTTTATGTCTCTGATGTTAGTTATTGTTTCGTAGAGGTGAAATTACCCTGTTAGCGCGTATGTACCCGTTTCCGCGCTCGACTGATACCCTGTTACTTATTCGCCACTTATTCGTTCCTTGTTCGCTTCCTGTACATTCCACTTTTTTAATGCTTTCTTTTCTTTTATTTTCTTTCCGCTGGTGTTAGCTATGCTTTCGATGAGTTGAAATTACCCTGTTAGTGCGTATGTCCCCGTCTCCGCGTTCGATTGATAACATGTTACTTACTTGCTAATAATATGTTCCTTTTTAGGGACCTCGGTGGCCGAGTGGTCTAGGTAGTTACTACTGTAATCACTAGCCAGTCAACACTGAGGTTGTGAGTTCGAACCCCGCTCATGCGGGTGCACTCGACTCCAATCTTAATTGACTAGGATTGTCAGTTTTCCTATCGAAGGTCGGTGGTTTTCTCCGGGCACTCCGGCTTCCTCCACCAATAAAAACTGGCCGCCACGAAATAGCCCAAAAGCGGCACTTAAAAGTGGCGTTAAAACACCAAAAATCAAAAATCAAATATATTCCTTTTTCAATTTTTATACGTTGCACCTTTAAAATGCTTTATTTTCTTTTATGTTCTTGTCTTCTGTGTTAGTTCTTGATTCGTAGAGCTGAATTATTAGCTATTAGCGCGAATGTGCCCGTTTACCCGCTCAATTGATACCCTGTTACTTATTTGTTCCTTATTCGCTTTTTTATACGTCGCACCTCTTGAATGCTTTATTTTCTTTTATGTTCTTGCGTGTGGTATTAGTTCTTGGTTAGTAGAGCTGAAACTACACTATTAGCGCGTGTTCCCATTTACGCGTTCGACTGATACCCTGTTACTTATTTTTCCTTATTTGCTTTTTAAACGTTGCCTCTTTTAAATGATTTGTTTTTATTTCTTATCATGTCTCTGGTGTTAGTTCTGGTTTCCTTGAGTTGAAATTACCCCGTAAGCGCATATGTCCCCATCTCCGCGCTCGCCTGATACCCTGTTACTTATTCGCTACTTATTTGTTCCATATTTGATTTTTATACGTTACACCTTCTTAATGCTTAATTTTCTTGTTTTTGGTGTTAGTTCTAAGTTTGTAGATGTGAAATTACCCTATAAGCGCGTGTGTACCCGTTTCTGCACTCGACTGATACCCTGTTACTTATTTGTTCCTTATTCGCGTTTTATACATTGCCCCTTTTTAATGATCTCTGTGTAGTTCTTTTCATGTCTCTGGTGTTAGTTCTTGTTTCGCTGAGTTGAAATTATCCCGTTAGCACATATGTCCCCGTCTTCGCGCTCGACTGATACCCTGTTACTTATTCGTTACTTATTTGTCCCTTATTCGTTTTTTATACGTTACACTTTATAATGCTTTATTTTCTTTTGTTTTCTTGTCCCCTGTGTTAGTTCTTGGTTTGTAGAGGTGAAATAACCCTATTAGCGTGTGTGTACCTGTTTCTGCGCTCGACTGATACCCTGTTATTTATTCGCCACTTATTCGTTCCTTGTTTGCTTTCTATACATTCCACTTTTTTAGCTCACCTGGCCCAAAGGGCCAAGTGAGCTTTTCTCATCACTTGGCGTCCGTCGTCCGTCGTCGTCGTCCGTCGTCGTTAACTTTTACAAAAATCTTCTCCTCTGAAACTAATGGGCCAAATTTGACCAAACTTGGCCACAATCATCATTGGGGTATCTAGTTTAAAAAATGTGTCCGTTGACCCGACCAACCAACCACGATGGCCGCCATGGCTAAAAATAGAACATAGGGGTAAAATGTAGATTTTGGCTTATATCTCTGAAATCAAAGCATTTAGAGCAAATCTGACAAAGGGTAAAATTGTTTATCATGTCAAGATCTATCTGCCCTGAAATTTTCAGATGAATCGGACAACCCGTTGTTGGGTTGCTGCCCCTGAATTGGTAATTTTATGGAAATTTTGATGTATTTGGTTATTATCTTGAATATTATTATAGATAGAGATAAACTGTAAACAGCAATAATGTTCAGCAAAGTAAGATGTACAAATAAGTCAACATGACCAAAATGGTCAGTTGACCCCTTAGGGAGTTATTGCCCTTTATAGTCAATTTTTAACCATTTTTCGTAAATTTTTGTAATTTTTTACAAAAATCTTCTCCTCTGAAACTACTAGGACAAATTTAACCAAACTTGTCCACAATCATCATTAGGGTATCTAGTTTAAAAAATGTGTCCGATGACCCCGCCCGCGAACCAAGATGGCCGACATGGCTAAAAAATAGTACATAGGGTAAAATGCAGTTTTTGGCTCATATCTCTGAAACCAAAGCATTTAGAGCAAATCTGATGAGGATAAAATTGTTCATTAGGTCAAGATCTATCTGCCCTGAAATTTTCAGACCAATCAGGCAACACGTTGTTGGGTTGCTGCCCCTGAATTGGTAATTTTAAGAAAATTTTGCAGCTTTTGGTTATTATCTTGAATATTATTATAGATAGAGATAAACTGTAAACAGCAATAATGTACAGCAAAGTTAGATCTACAAATAAGGCATCATGACCAAAATTGTCAATTGACCCCTTAAGGAGTTATTGCCCTTTATAGTAAATTTTTTACAATTTTGTAAATTTTGTAAATTTTTGTAAATTTTTACAAAGTATTTTCCACTGTAACTACCGGGCCAAGTTCATTATAGATAGAGATAATAGTAAGGAGCAAGAATGTTCAGTAAAGTAAGATCTACAAACACATCACCATCACCAAAACACAATTTTGTCATGAATCCATCTGTGTCCTTTGTTTAATATGCATATAGACCAAGGTGAGCGACACAGGCTCTTTAGAGCCTCTAGTTATTGCTTTCTTTTCTTTTATTTTCTTTCCGCTGGTGTTAGCAATGCTTTCGATGAGTTGAAATTACCCTGTTAGTGCGTATGTCCCCGTCTTCGCGTTCGATTGATAACCTGTTACTTACTCGCTAATTATATATTCCTTTTTCGATTTTAATACGTTGCACCTTTTTAATGCTTTATTTTCTTTTATGTTCTTGTCTCTTGTGTTAGTTCTTGATTAGTAGAGCTGAAATTACCCTATTAGAGCGTATGTGCCCGTTTACCCGCTCGATTGATACCCTATTACTTATTCGTTCCTTATTCGCTTTTTATATTTTGCCCATTTTTAATGATTTCTAAGTGTTTCTTTTCATGTCTCTGGTATTAGTTCTGGTTTCGTGGAGTTAAATAACCCCGTTATCGCATATGTAGCAGTTCCGCGCTTGACTGATACCCTGTCACTTATTCGCTATTTATTTGTTCCTTATTCGCTTTTTTATATGTTGAACCTCTTGAATGCTTTATTTTCTTTTATGTTCTTGTTTTTGGTCTTAGTTCTAAGTTTGTAGATGTGAAATTACCCTATAAGCGCGTGTGTACCCGTTTCTGCACTCGACTGATACCCTGTTACTTATCTGTTCATTATTCGCGTTTTATACATTGCCCCTTTTTAATGATCTCTTTTTAGTTCTTATCATGTCTCTGGTGTTAATTCTTGTTTCGCTGAGTTGAAATTACCCCGTAAGCGCATATGTCCCCATTTCCGCGCTCGCCTGATACCCTGTTACTTATTCGCTACTTATTTGTTCCATATTTGATTTTTATACATTACACCTTTTTAATGCTTTATTTTCTTGTTTTTGGTGTTAGTTCTTAGTTTGTAGATGTGAAATTACCCTATAAGCGCGTGTGTACCCGTTTCTGCACTCGACTGATACCCTGTTACTTATCTGTTCATTGTTCGCGTTTTATACATTGCCCCTTTTTAATGATCTCTTTTTAGTTCTTTTCATGTCTCTGGTGTTAGTTCTTGTTTCGCTGAGATGAAATTATCCCGTTAGCGCATATGTCTCCGTCTTCGAGCTCGACGGATACCCTGTTACTTATTCGTTACTTATTTGTCCCTTATTCGGTTTTTATACGTTACACTTTTATAATGCTTTATTTTCTTCGTTTGAATTAAATTTTCTGTCTTGTAAACCTTTGTGGTCAAATAAGTTGCTCTTTTTATTAGAATTGCGAGCACGGAGAGCTTTACATCAAAATTCAGTTTAAAAAAATATCTTTATTTGTTTGTTCACAGATTAAATGCGATATAAGGTACAGAAAATTAATGTAGAGTTAAATATACTTCTTTTTGTTATCCTACCGCTTGTTCTTTTACTCTAATGGACTTGTTGTTATATGTATAGTTTGAAAGAAAACAGGAAATATTTTACACTAATAATTAGTTCAAAAATACTTATTTTGACAAGATTTACTGCAAATAAGATAGAGAATGGAAATGGGGAATGTGTTAAAGAGAGAACAACCCGACCAAAGAGTAAAAAACATAGCCGAAGGCCAC